AGCATATCGTTGCTATTGATCCCGTCGTGATTGCCCTGTCGTGCAGCGGTGAGGGGAGAAAGGGGGGAGAGGGAGATTGCATGCGAGCCCGCTTAGCCCTATAATTTTTAGCATCTTTGACTCCTTTCGGAACGGACTTTTGGCCTCGCCATGTTTCCTCGGATGCGTCACGGTGCTCTCGCACGATGCTAATCGATTCTTCACAGCATCCGCGAGACGCCGAAATGAGCCGGTCCCGGTCCTCAGTGAGGGAGCGGCCGCGCCGCGAAGAACAAAACCGCCAAGATGGAGATTGCCTCAATTACGGGGATAAGGGAGACGCGCGAGTATCGAGAGGGAATCCGCGAAGAACGAGCGTCGAAATAAATTGATAGAGTTGGGTCGTAAGGCAGGATTAGATTGCACTAATTGTACGAGGAGTAATTTCGCCCGAGTCTGAGAAGAGATTTTTCGAACGAGCTCGAACTAATCGGCGAGCGATCACGGTCTTCTGCGTTAATATCAAAACGCGCTACTCAAATAATATTTCTTCGCCTTTACCGATATCTTAGTCCTAAAATACCGCAATACTCTCTGAGGGAATTTAGACTCATGCTTTTAGATCAAAGATAAAATCCACAAGAGTGAAGCCGCACATTTACAATTTTATCCTCATTATCAATTAGGGCGAAACGTCGCAAAACGAACTATTCAAATTTTGCCAGTCCGGCCGACTACAAGCTCTGCATTTTTATTTAATTTTACCATTGGTGACTATACAAGAACACTCGAGCTCGTTTATCCTCATTATTCCCGTCACATGTCCTCGTTCCAATAAAATTTTTCCGATCAGATTCAAGCCTCACCCCCCGATCGTCCACATTCTCCTTCGATTGTTGTCGAGGATCGGCGCGGCTGGTCGAAATGAAAACGAATGGCGGAAACAGGGCGGCTAACACGAGGCTGACGAAATTAAAATAACGACTTGATTTACGGAGCAACCTTCTCACGGTCTTCGGCGTACGCGAACTTGGAACTTCCTCCCTCGTCGCCGTCGCCGTCACGAGGACGACAAGGAGGTGGCGGCCCTCCTCCCACCCCTCCCCTGGCAGCCCTCGGCCGACGTTCTTTATTCAAAGTTGTAATAACGTTTGGCAGATGTTTCTGATATAGTGGCGCTTTATTCTGCGAACTTTTATCGAGTCAATTTAAGTTGCGGCGAGGGGCTACAGTGTGTTCGCAGGAGGGCCAAGCCGCCCCCTCCGCTTCCCGCCTCTCTCTCTCTCCCGGCCCTCTTTTCTCTTTCTGTCGGAATCTTTTCGCTCTTCCTTTTTCACCCCCGCTCCCCCTCCCCGCCCGAACTTGCCGTGCATATTCATTCTGAAGGAATCCTGCGAGTCGCGGGACGGTGAATTGAGATAAAGTGAGAGCGGCCGCGTGAGAGCGCAGCGAAAAGTAGATAAAAGTGGCGGATGAGTAAATTGGTTTACCCCGCCGAACGGCGCGCCAAGATTTCAGAAAACTTGCGGCTCTCTCGCGTAATTCGATTTCGTTACTTTCGTACGTAACATACGTCTCGTAAACGCACGAGTGTCGGCGTACATTTTGTTGTCGCCTCGGCCTCCGGTAAATGACAATAATTCTACGATCGCACGATACGTTCGGCGGTCGCGAGTCGGAGAACGGCGCGAAACTATATCGTTTCTCACAAAAAAAAGCCGAGGAGAACCAGTTTGCAACTTAATAAAGAAAGTTATACGCCGCGAGTAGACACGCACACGGGGATTTCGCGTGAATCGCCGGAATGATCGCGACACATATTCCGGCGCGCATATTGCGCGACAGAAGGCGGAGAGCGGCACGGCCGGCCCGACGATGTAACTTTATTTCAGCTCACGTGCGAATCCAATCCAGGCATGATTTTCCATTTGAAATCGAGCGTATATCAAAAGTCGGGCTGCCTCATCCATATCAATCGAAAGAGAGCGTCGCGTCGTCCTTTGAATTACGAAGGGGAGCCCTGCGGAAAAATCTTTACTCGATATCCTAAGCGCATACTTAGCAGCCGTCCCTTTTGTTTAGCCTTGGAACTTTTATCCTCGCGCGTCTCTCCTTCCTCATACGCGACGTGAAAGTAACGTGAATAATCGCCGTAATAAGGCGCCACTCTTAATGTCTCGACGGAGACTTCAGAAGAATATTATTTGAAAATCTTACTGTAAATTCGAAGCTGACTGCGCCTCGATGGAAAACGGAGGGGGCTCGTGCCTCATCGAGGGTTTTCAATTTTTCAACATCCAATTGTGCCGACGAGAAACGCGAAGGCTTAAATTCCCGCCGAGACAAAACCAGGCTTAAAATAACTGACGCCGGGCAAGAGTTTATTACGTATTCACTCTTTCACGTTTCTGTCGGCTTTCATTTTTAGCTCGTCCTGTACGCGAGCGTCGTTACATTAGCGCGCAAGTTAATACACGGCGGCTTGACATCTTTAAACGCGAATGTTTTTGTTTGCCGACTTTATTCGTATCATTTAGCGGCTGAGTGTAATTCGGTGTTGATTTTATCGCGCACTCGAGTGACATATGCTCGTCCGTCGCGACCGTTTACGCAACGCTTGAAAAGCCACCGATAAAAAAATCATATCTCACCCTTTATCGTGGCTGATGAGTTCTGTCAAGAGTTCCGTAACGTTTTCTCCAATTACAGTCCCAATTTATTAAAAAAGAGGGACAGGAAAGAAGAAGTCATTATATTGTTGATAATTTTCGAGAACACAAGCTATTTATTATAATACAAAAATATTACGTAACGATAAAACTTAACAGAAATACAAAGAATAAAGATCTAATAGGAAAGAAAAACGTCGCTGTATTATTCTGATATAAGATTTTAAAATACAAAAGAGTCGCTACGTGATTCGTTAAAATATACTTGAAATAAAAGCATAATTAATTTAATTTTTAAGTAATACTCGTGTTCAACGATAGAAGAGCAAAGATTCCCATTGATGGGATTTCAAGATATTCAAAAGGAAACACGATTTATTGCATTCGAGTGCACTCTGTTACATTTTATTGACTCTCGACGGCAATAAACAACTTATCTTTGAACGTTACATAGTTAAGTGAAGTTTTCAACGTTTGATAAAGCTGCGATTTGTGTAACTTCTGCCAGTAAGCGAGTTGTACGTTCTCGTTTTACCCACTGCAGGGCAGTGATGGCTTTCCCCCTGCTTTACCTGCCATCGGAAAGTCCCAGCCGCAGTCTTCTTTATGCATTAGCGGTAAAATTCTTCTCGACACATTACAAACGTCTTATTTCACTTTCTTTGTATTTTTCTTTGCTCGAGCAAAGTTATTTCATGTTTCGTGCAAAAGGAGATTAATATCAAGTCAAGCGTCTTCGGCGGAGGCCGAGGGGCAGCCATCTTGAGCCTCTCGTTGACCTTCCACGAGAGGCAATTACCCACGTGCAGTTCGCGTTATCCATTACTTTCTATAATGTACCTTCGTTAAGAAATTTCATATCCGTTATATTTCCCCGCTTCGGCGTCGTTCGACGTGGCGAACGTTCTAAATCGTCGCGTAAAAAAAAATGCGGGTTAAGCTGTTCTTTTTTTTTTTGGTCGAAGATGGAAACGCATCGCTGATCAGCGTCATTAAGGAATTCCTTCGATTGCCGAAGGCTACCGCGTATCCTTCGCTCGTGAAATCGAAGGAACGGTGAATGGAAACCTACGGTGCATTGCTCGCATACCTGCGATATTACGGTGCATGCGGTCACATTGCTGAGCGGCGAACACGGGTCTGAGAGATCGATTAGATTCGGGGTAACTAATTGACAATCAAGTATACTAATCGAATATCTACTTATCTGCTATCCATTTGGGATAATCACGGAACAGGGATAAATAGGGAATGGGTTCAGGATTACTTGCGTTCGACCGCGTCCTTGTGACAAATAATTATCTTCTTTCGTCCTACTTGCAAAATTTCTAATTTAAGATCAGCAATGAAAACAATAATGCATTTGGGATCGACGCATTCTCCCTTCATCTGACTCATTACAATTTGACTTGATTGTCAGAGATCTCTTATAGACTGAGGAATTTTAACGGTAATTAAGACGTGACGCTCTAAATAAATAATGTCGCGTTTTATTACTGCGGCGATGAAATTATAGGAACGCATGTCCTATTACCTATTTCCCCCATTCCCATCACGTCCACGGCAAGGTGGACTTGGTTTAATTTACTCGCCACATGATCAGGAATGTCCGCTGCAAAAATAACGGCGTCGTTACTTGCTCGTTACATTCGCCAGATAGAAGTTAGCTAAATCGAGGATAAGCAGGTACCTCGCCGCGATGATAAAATAAAGTGAAACGCACGAAAGCCGCAAAAGTGAAGAAAAAACAAATCTGTTTCAGCCCGTTAACGTAGCGGGATTTCAGGAGGCAAAGCACCGCCTTGGATAATCTATTTTTGCTTATTTTCCTATTAACGCGAACATATTTTTCCCTATTAAGAATAATTCGTAGAAATATAATATCTGGGAAGGCCGATATAATATTTTCCGTTACCTCATGTATCGTCGTATTAATTGCCGATGTCTTTTAACACACAAGTACAAGAACAAATGTACTAATTAAAAGACAGTAGTTTAATGTTTTTGAGGTTTTTACTTACAACTGGTACATTGCATTCATATAAGTTTGAATAATTGAAAGCAAAATACTAAATTTATGCCGGTGATTATTCAGTTATGAAATATAGTTTCGTATCAAAGTTGAAAATGTAGTATAATATTGATATACCAGAGTTAATTTCACACATTTAATGCCAAAAAAATATAAAACCGAGACGTACGAGTATAAAACTCCCAGAAGATATTACTAGACGTAAAATCCTACCGAGTAACCGGCAATATTTATTTATTCTGAGTTTTTTATACTAAAAGAAATGTTCGCTACCGTAGCTGATCATGGTTTGCTAAAAACATTTTACTGTCATAATTATAAATTTCTAAACCACAGAAAACATAGTTTGCTGTCGCACCTACAATAGGCGCAGTAGCCAAATATTTAGCTACCACAACTAAATACCAGCTGTCCATATTTTACAACCGAAGTTTAGTTGCCACATGCAGTTTTTAGCTACGGTAGCAACATTTTGCTTTCCTTTTAGAGAACACAATCGACATTTTTTACACAAATCGACACGTGCCGCTTTTCATGTAGAATTTAATTCAAAGTCAATCGACACTTTTCGACTCTGCCCGGGAGAAGAGTCGGGGTGTGTTTTCGACCGAAAAACGCATCCACTTCGAGTGTTTCGATAGAACCTTTTCTTAAAATCTTTGCCATTTCACAGTGGCAAGCTGTGCTCGAGCGTATTAACTTGTGTCAATTTGTGTCTCCTGAAAGGAAAGCAGCCACTATTTATATATACAGGGTGGTCTAAAAGTCCCGGAACGGTTGAATATCCCTAGAAATTGTGGGTGGATCGGAGTGCAATAGTGCTCCAATTATGGAAAATTTTTGTGTATTGTACCATCTACCAAATTTACATACATAAAAATTTTCAATAATTAGAGCACTATTGCGACAGCATATTTC